CCCCGCCGTGACGCGCTGCGGCCCCCGGTCCCGTCCCGGAGCGCGCCTCCTTCAGGACGGCCGCCTCCTCCCAGAGGAGCCAGCCCTGCCCTTCACAGCTTCGCCTGAGTTCCGGGACCCGGGAGGCACAATTTAGGGCAGACCTGGGGAGCAGCCTTCTTGGAAATTGGGTGGGAGGCGTTGGAGAGGGAGACCAGGCGCAGGGTGGACGAGGGATCCAGGGCCCAAACGAACCACACAGGCCTTAGTGCCTCAAGTGCCCCAAGGGGAGTTCGCAACACCCCAGGAGTTCCTGCCCTTCACTGAAGTTGTTAAGGAAAACTGCAGAAGAGATGCAAGAGAAGGCTAAATTCAGTTAGTTCTCCCCTTTCCTACCTAGTTGTTTTCTCATTTACTTTTTATTCATATCTCTTGAAGCTTATTGACAGTCACTGGAACGCTGGTGAATGAAAAGGCCTGTTCCATCGCTGGATGCAGGACTCTAGACACAGATCTGATGGTCCAGGGCAGGGTATCCAAACTTCCTGCAGGACCTGGCTGTGGAGCATCTGGGGCCTTCCCAGCGTCGTCTGGGGAGGTCCTTCCAGGACATGGGTGTGAGAGTCTGTTCTCTTGGTTGCAGTTGCCAGGTGCCCAGATACCAGGTGCCGAGCTGGGACTCAGTCTCTCCTGAGTGCCTGGGCAGTGATGTCCTTTGGCCCCTGTGTGTGAGCATTCAAATGACTAGGGCAACCAGCTGTTATAAACCGGCCATAAGAGAACCCTTCCTGATAATGCAGGAAAAGCCATATGGTTCTGAGTTGAAAAGCTAAAGAGAAAACTCAGCACTACTGCCAAGAATAGGGAGTGAGAGAGAGAGAGAGAGAGAGAGAGAGAGAGAGACAAAACCCCCAAACTCTCTTTCAAAGAGAGATTAGATGAGATCTTCCCAGAAATCTAGGCTGAAAGAACTCAGTCTGGATTTGAATTAGAAGAGGAAGAGAGCTCCCAGAATAGGACAGCCAGTAGTTAGGTGGGCCCACCTCAGACCCTAGAGGTGGGTTCAAGCAATGGCTTGGGGGTGCCAGACTAAGGGGCTTTTCTCAGTAGGTGTGTGGCCAGGTAGGTAAGACTCAGTCTGCAATGACTCCTTGACCTACAAATGCCTATCTATATAGAGTTGGTTCCTCTAGCACTCCAGGCACCTAAATCCGGAGTTTAGAATCTGCCAGAGCATTGAGGAAGACCTGAAGGTGGAGGAGGGGTGGGGATGACCAGAGAGGCATGAACTTACCTGAGGATAAGGAAATGACAATCTTCTTCCTCCTGGAGGTTTACACACTATAGAGCATTCAGCCTTACACATTTATGAGATGTAATGTTCTCCTCCTTTTCCTGACGTACAGAGGAAAGTAGCTTCCTCAAGGACACAGCTATGAAATAGTGCAGCCCAAATTTGAATTAAGTGTTTCCAACCTCCCAATCTATCATTTAACCTCCATATTATTCAAAAGAGGAGAAAATGACTTATGTGAGGGAATTTTGCACCAGAGCAGGGTGATGTACAGGCCCAAAATGATGCTTATTGAGTGAAGGCTGTAGAAAACGCTTCCCTGGCAATATTACGGGTTGCTTTTCAGAGAAAACAGGGAGAAACCAATGCAATTAACTTGAGCTTAGGGCTTCATAGAAGCAGCTGTCAGGAAAAAAACCAGAGGCCTATCCATAAGGTGGAACCTCTGTGCTGTCTCAGTTCGTGAAGAGAGAAGTCCAGGGCCAAAAGCCAATAGCTTCTGTGGTGGACAAATCAGGTGGAGCCAGCACTGGATTGCCAAGGCTGCAATGTTTGTTTTAAAGACAGTTACAATAGCAGGAAGATGCACGTGTGGTTAAAGGATAGGAGTGGGCATTTGGCCAGAACGTTCTCATTCTGGGTGGATGATGCATCCCTTAGGAAAAAGCAGGGTTTTTTTTTTGTTGATGTTGTTCTTTTATTGAGTTTATTGGTACATTTTAGGTATACAGTACAATTATATTCATTATTGGGATCTTGTACCTTTACATGACAGGTCTTAGTTCTCATTTTTTCCCCTTGTCCCTGCCTTCAGGAGAAACCAGGTTTGAGCGCCCACCTTTACTATTTTTATTCTGTTGGCAGTGAAATCTCAATTCCTATAAATTCATGCATGGCCCGAGGCAACACAGTGCTGTTACATCGTGCCTAATTCATTATTTTTCTGGTTTTCAGTTAAGATATTTGAAGATGGTCAAGAGGTTAGTGGGCTCTAAATGGAATGAAACAGAGCATTAGCAACCAATTAAGAAAAGAAAATTCTGAAATAGCAGCTTTGTGAGCTGAGGCTGGAAATTTAAGCTCACTTTTTGGGTGAAGCCCCCCCCCCCACTAACTGGTTTCATGTCAGTGTGTTTCAGACAAATGGTAATGCCGTCCTCTCAGATATGAACATCACTGGGGTATTAGGTACTGAACTTGAGCTGCTTTGAAGACTAAGACTGACTACCCTTGCTTTGCTTTCTTGGTGATGCCCTGCTTTAGGCAGTGGATGGAGGCTGGGGCCAGCATGGATCCACCTATGTAGATCCACTAGTGGGAGACAGTTCCCATCAGTTTACAGAGTACGAGTTTAATACAAGGGGCTGCGTCTAGGAAAGCACTGCACAAAAATAAGCACCTTTGTCAGGTATGGGAAATATTCCACTGAGAACATAGTCTTACTCTCATCTAAAACTGTGAAGTATTCTTGCCTGCAGCATGGTACAAGGGCTAAAGCAGGGACAGAGAAAGCCCCTGAGAAGCAAACAGGATGATGAGAAATCAGAAAGGCTGCTGGCCAGGGGAAGGCTGTTAGCAGGAGATGATGAGAGTATAAATGGTGTGGATAAGATGCGTATAGACTTGTTCATCAGATCCTGAAATATAGCACTGTCTGAGAACTGTGAGGCAAGTTCAGGACAAGTCAGCGGAAATACTATTTCATGCGGCAGGTAATGAATTGATGGAATGAATTCTCTCCCAGAGGTGGCACAACTGGCAATGCAAATGAACTCCAGAGGATTTGGATGATTGTGTAAACGGCAGGGTCATAACAGAGAGCTGCAGGAGATGAGGAGTATTCCACATGGTTAGGAGTCTAGGGTGACACAAGGGATCCTTACATAGTATGTACCTCAAGGTTTGTGTGGATAACAGAATTCTGGCCTTCCTGGCTGGCAGAGGTCTTTTGACTAAGAAATGGTAGAAATGAGACTGGACCACATAGAGCCAGCACACACACTCCTGAACAGGCAAAGCTTTCTAGGGGGGAAGGGGCTTCAGCCGAATGGGGGCTTTGGCTGGAGGGAGGCAGTGATCAGTCTACAGACTGATCAAGCTGCTGCTGCCAGAACAAATAGAGAAGCAGGTCTTTATTGATTTTCTTCGGGGTGAGATAAAATCTGATCATTTTAATTAGCCAGGGGCTTGGTGCCAAAAGATATTTCTTTTTGTGACAGTCTTAGGCCACCTGGCAGTCATAGTAAACACAAATTTCCTTGTATTTGGCACCATCAACCCATGTAGACATCCCAGCCCTGTGCTTGGTGGACTAACAGGAGATCAGCTTCTCCCAGGAACTGCTGAGTTGTTCTCACAGGTGGTGTCATGATCCTGCATAAATGTTTTGGTCTTATGAGAGGGATGAAGGATTTTTCAGTGTTTGAGCTGCTGTCAAGCCCAGGGATAGCGCAGAAGAATCACTAGCTCCAGTGGGAAATAGCCCAAGTTAATCCTGTATCGTAGGGTTGGACAAAACCTTTTAAAATGATCAAGTCTTGTGCAGAGCTGGGTAGACTCTGACTCACGGGTTAATTAGCAAAGGGGACAGGCAATGTGAAGAGATGGTGGGCCTTTCTTCCCATTTTAGTCTCCCACCTGACATCTGTAAGCCCATGTGAAGGAAGAGTCAGAGTTCTCAGAAAAAGTGGGCTTCACCGAGTAGCTCAGTGGCGTCGCACTTGCCTGATAAGGACAGGGTCCTGAGTTTGATCTCTGGTAACAACAACTGCAAGAGCCCAGAAGTAGGCTTCAGGTCTCTGGGACATAACCCAGGCAGCTGTTCCATAGCCAGAGAGCAAAGCTAGTGGGAAAATACTAATGTATTGCTCAGCCATGTGACCTTCAAAATTAGTAATTTTAAGTTGACTTAGGATAAATGAAGCTAGAGGGCTTAAGATCTTTTCTTAGTAATCATTTCTTACTTCATGGAAATATTCTGCTTTTGTGACTTTATCAGGATCTTATGATGGGTCTGCCGAAACATGCAGTGCTACAAAGGGTAATAGTTTATTGTGTCCGGGGTTTATTTTGTCATCCCTGCCTTCATTTCCACCACCGCTCCACCATGGTTGTTCCTAATTGTTTCACATGGAGCTTGGATGCCAGCCGATGTGCGGCACCAATATGATCTCCCTAATTCTACTACAATCCCTTGTGGCCTTTGCCTTCTGAAGGGAGCAACAGCCTGTTCTTTTTCACTCAAGCCCGTTTGAGCTGCGTTACTTCTTCATCTTGGCTTTAGATTTTGAGCATGTGCCATGGTGGTTTAGGAGGCTCTTTGTTTATACCTCTGGGACACTAAGAGGCTCGATTTTCATTTTCTGTTTCTGGCTCACTCCTCCCCAACCCCATGGTGTCTTTAAGGCTATTTTTACAGTGTATCTATCTTTGATGATTGTAAACTGGCCAGCAATACTGTTCAGGGCCCTTTGTTGAGATTCAGCACAGGCTTTGTTCACATGTA